GAAGAGAAAGTGCCTTTTTGGGAGAGAAAAAGTATTTTGAGGCTGACCTTTTCTTGAGAAGAAAAGCAAGGAGCCTATTTGAGGGTTTAGATTGTGAGAGTTGTAAACCCATTTGTATTCTTTTTTTCTCTAATAGTTGATCCCCCCTCCTTGCCCCGTGGACGTAGGCAGTTTGCCGAACCACGTAAAATTGGTTGTTTGAGTTTGGTAGGCAGTTTGCCGAACCACGTAAAATTGGTTGTTTGAGTTTGTGGCCATTGTAATAGTTTTTAGGATCTCTCGACGCGCAGTCCTAGAGCTGACGAGAGGAAGAGCAAATATCCCACTTTGATGGGATATTAGGCTTTCAGATTCTTGTTCCCTTTGAGAAACAAGAATTCTTATCGATCTTTCTCTCTTATTGTGCACCAGAAACTCTGCCAAAATTTTCGCCGCGCGCAACAATTAAGTTCATCTTTGAGATGCAATTATGATAGATCAACAACTGCAACACTAGAAATTATCATCTTATTATGGACATATGCATCAAGGATAAAAATCATGGGTGAGAGAGGGTTACCTTGCTTTAAACCCCTAGAACAATTAAAAGTTTTTGAAGGAGAACCGTTCATCAAAATAAAAGGCTTGCAGGAGTGAAGAACTTCTCCTATCCACTGACATCACTTTGGCCCAAAGCGCCTAGCTTCAAGCATCTCAAGAATGAAACACCAGCTAACACAATTAAAAGTATTTATGAAGTCAATTTTGATCATGTAAATTTTCTTGCGTTTAGAAGAACACAAGTGAAGAAACTCATGAGCAATAGCACATGAATCTAGGGTTAATTTATCACTTTGGAAGGTAAATTGAGAAGGGTCAACTAGAGAAGATAGAATGAGAGCAAGCCTGTTAGCAAAAACCACAATGCAAAATTTAAAGAGACTATATAAAAGACTTACTAGAACCTAGTCATTTTTTTTTACTCATTTTCTCTTTTCACTCGAGACGTATCTAGTACAATCCTATTAGGACTGTAACGAAATCTGATTAGTGAAACATAGAAAGAAAAGAAAGAACACAAGATAAAATGGTGTAGTCAATAAATTAGGGTTTTATTCTTCAAAAGCTGATTTCCTACAATGATAAAAGAGTCTTTTATAGACTAAAAAAATAAAATAAAGAGATAAAAATAATATTTTTTAATCAAAAAGATAAAAATAATATCCTGAATCAAAAATAGAAAAATAATAAAAACTAGAAAGCATCCTTCTACTAGAAATAAAATTATATATCCATATTAAATATCAGCCAAAATAGAATCCGGTTGACCCTCCGAATTGAGCTGCCAACAATTGAAATAAAATCTTTGATTGCAATTCTGATCCTAATAATTTTTTGTGAGAGCTTCGAAATGACTAGTCTTTTGTACAATTACGATAAATTCGAAGTCCCATGGAGTTTGACTTTTATAGGGTAAAACTGGTCCATGTAGGCTAAGGCCACCTTGAGGGGCTACATATGAATTACAACCATCCGTTGTACAACAGATCATAGTGATTGAAATTAATGATCCCTACACTATTTTTTTTTACAGTGGTGTAGTCAAGTTTCCTTTTTTTTGTTTCGAGTCTTGCTATGCAACGAAGTATTTAAGAATGGTAATTGGATTTAGTTAAAAAAAATCTTTGACTTTGGCACAATAAATTTGGCGGCAACTAGTGTTGCAATGTCAGGATGTAAAACAGATATGGATATTCGCAGATATATTTGTATCTATAACATTTGGATGCATATACAAGCATGAATATATAAGTGAAAATTTTGGATCCTTATCCAAATATTTGAATACACGTATACATCATATAGTTGAAATTGATTATGATAATCTAAAGATATAATCTTAACTTTTCTGATATGTCCAATACATTATTGGATTCTTTTTTGAGATTGTTATATTCAAATACTCTTGTTTCATTTATTGCTCCACCTAGATGTAAGTCGCGTTGGAGAAACTAGGCATAATGTCAATCTGCTGTGCTTTCCCATGAGATTGTTATGTATATGATTTTATTATCAGTTTTCTGTATTTAGTCTCGCCGACTCTCATGTAAGTTGCGAAAAATTCTTCAATGTGAATGAGAGAAGAAGGATGCATACATCATGTAAGTTGCGAAAAATTATTCATTGCGAAAAATTCTTCAATCTGATATCTTTGTTGCTAAAATTCTATTTTGAGATCAAAATAAAGTAAGGTTGTGTCTTATTATCCCTCCTTTATATTGTAGACAGTTAAAATATATTTTTAACCCAGGGCAAAGTTCAGTTTGGATCCAAGAAGTGGCACTACCACATATTTGCTCTAACGCAACGGTTCAAAACCGTTGCGTTAGCCATGGAACCGTCGCCCTTGAGCAAGCGCGACGGTTCTCAAACCGCCTCATATGTTGCCGTTGCCCTACCTCTACCGTAACGGTTTTGAACTCTATTGCGACGGTTTTTTGAACCGTTGCCCCCGCATCTAACGCAACGGTTTTAAAAGGCAAGCGGTTTTTAAGCCATTGCAACGGTTTTGATTGAGCTATTGCGACGGTTTTTAAGCTATTGCAGCGGTTTTGATTAAGCTATTGCGACGGTTTTCAAGCTACTGCAGCGGTTTTTTTGGATATTACAACGGTTTTAAAAGACCTAACGCAACGGTTTTAGTAGGCTAAAGCTATGGTTTTGATAGAGCTACGGCAACAGTTGAAGCTATTGCAACAGTTTTAAAAGACCTAACGCAACGGTTTTAGTAGGCTATAAGTATGGTTTTGATAAAGCTACGGCGACAGTTGGAGCTATTGTAACAGTTTTAAAAGACCTAACGCAACAGTTTGGATCGAGCTATCGCAGCGGTTTGGATCGAGCTATCGCAACGGTTTTGATCGAGCTATCGCAACGGTTTTAATCGAGCTATTGCAACTGCTCAATCGAAGCTGTTCTTGGTTTCCTACGTCAAAATAATTATAGTATTCAATTACCTGGACAATCTTTTTAAGAACATGGCCAAGTCAAATTTTAATACACAATATAAAAGTGATTATGTTGAGCATAATCAACCATAATGATAAGTGCCAACATACATCAGTATAGTATAAAAACTACAAAGTATTAAATCCACACTACCAACATTTCAACTCAGAAAATATCGTACCGAACTAACATTCAAACAATGTACATCAACATTTGATTACAAAACATGAAACTTCTCGGTCAAAGACTATATTCTCTATTTGTTTCCAAAAACTTGTTCCTCAATGTCAAATACTCACTAGGAACCTGTCAGTATCAATCTCAATCTTGGCTTTCATCAATTTCGGTTCAAAAGATTCATATATCAAAGCCATCTTGACCGCATTCTCCTATTTAAGTCTTTATATCCCCTGCAAAAAATAAAGAAACGTATCAAATATCATGTTAGCAACAAACTGAAAAGGTAATTTTTTAAACTAACCATTACAAGGAAAAAAAAGCTCAAGTAACATTGGTAAATAAGGAGACAATTGATCCTCAGATGGCTACAGTTTCTCTTTTATATTAAAAAAGAGAGAGAAAATCACTCACCTACATCAAAACCTCTTTTGATTTTTTCAGCCAGCTAAATTCTAAATTTTGACGAGATCTGCAATTATAGCCTAGCAAAATATCTGGGGGCGGCAGATGACAGAATCTTTGAGGAAAAAAGGGGCAAAAACTCAGAGAATATCATGTAACAAGAACTTGATTAAATAATTTATGTCTATATGGTATGATTAAAATGTGGACCATGTATCGGTGGAAGTGATCATCAGCAACATCTCCAGTGCTCCCATCCTTGATATTTCCTGATAAAACACCAAAATTTAAGGGAACAAGATTATGAAAGAAGTAATGCACGCGACGGGTTTTTATTTATTTATTTTATTTTTTGAGGGGGGTTACAATAGAATAAAATTACTGTTTGTATTATTGAATGCTTCCAGGTCTTGGTCAGCAAAGGAATATTCGAAATATAATAGATTATGCAAAAATTAATGTTAATAAAATTTTACCTGGCATGTGAGTAAAGACGTCCCAATTGTTCAGACTTTTGTTGCCTTCTAGATATCCACCTTCAATCTGGGAAAAAAACAAAATAACTAGGTGAGCACTCCTGAAAATTAATATCTTCGAATACTTTTCGAATACAAACGTTTGTATACGAGGTTGTAGCAGGATGTGTCTGTAAATTGATATCCCAAAGCCATCCTGGAATTTATATGGACTGCCAAATGTATGCTAAAAAAAGCACTTGAAGTGTTTAATTAATTTGTGGCTAATAAAATAAGTAATATCATTCTGTTGTAAACAAATCCGTGCTCAAAAGTTTCTCATACATGAAGTCACACCCGTAGGTATTTTGAGCAACTTTGGCAACTTTAACGATGCATCGCGGGTAGAAAACCTCCAGCTCATTCTTATCAAAGAAAATGCGGTGCACAAAACCCGCTCGCAAAGAAATTATTAACTTTATTTTCTGAAAAGAAAAGTACTGCAGGTTTGATCAGAAAGTGTGAAGTTGTATCTCTCCATTCCGTATACTTCACAGTTTGTATGACAAAAAAAAGTGTTCTCGTGATGATTCTTACCTGATAGCATGAAGTTGCAGTGCCGAAGAGAAATGAAGAAGGGAAATCACTTCGATCCAGGCCAGTAGCCAGAGATATGAGCTCAAAAAGCAAACCAAATGCGAAAACCTTCTTCAACTCCATATTTCAAAACCCACCCTTTAATTTGTGCAGCTCCTAAATCTTTGTTAAGTTATCCTGCAGGCACTTTATATCTTCTATGTTATTTCGAGCTTAATGCAGTGAGGTTTATATAGAGATTAGGGGTGGATATTGTTGAAGGAAAAATCAAGTATCACACGAAAGTTAATATGTCATGCGTTGCTTGTTGAATGTGTTAAGAATTCACAGGCTAGTGACAGTGAACTCAGAATTTTGTACATTTTGTCGAAGGTAATGTTTAAAGTTACAGTAAAAGGGAAATCAGTAGACGATCGATTAATAAAAGCAAAAGATGGAAACTGGTGGTAATGAGAAGCTGCATAGTTTGGTCCATACGTGTCATTATCAGGCCTTGTCATAAGACTCTGTATGTGTTTAAGCCATTGAATAATAACATGCAGTTTTAGCAATATGTATGAATGATCTTTAATTACATTGAAATTTTCATGGTAATGATACGGAATATTTCTTCAATGCCACGTATTGGCGTGGGAAATGCAAAGGATAAGGGCGGTGATCAGAAGTGGCTTAATTCAGACGTTTCCTCATGATGATTTTTGATGGATCTTGTGAAATTCTGCAGATTCAGGGAACTTCAATTCACACAAAAATTTTTCATCCGAAAAACTTTTCGTTACTGTTCATCCGAACAAAAATTTTTACTGTTCATCCGAACCCAAAAAATTTGAATCTTTAACCAGAGATTTAAGATCAAAAACCCAATAAAACTTAAATCCCTAAGAATTAATCAAGGTGGCTCTGATACCACTTGTTAGATCTACATCAAAACTTGAGATCTAAAACCATATAGCCATGATTAATTCAAAGAGATTAACAATAATCAAAAGAGCGGAAGCTTATACCTGAATCCATAGATCTAAAACCATATAGTCATGATTAATTCAAAGAGATTAACAAAATCAAAAGAGAGCGGAAGCTTATACCTGAATCCATGGATGAAATCTTGATTTGGGTTTTTGATGATCTTCTAACCTTAGGGTTCCTCTAAAATCCGAATTTCTCTCTTAGATGGGGGTGAAGAGAATTAGAGAATGTAACCCTAGGTTAGGGACCATAACCCCTTATTTATAGATGTTGTACTTTTGTAATTTAGCCCCTCAATAAATTACAATTACAACCTGGTATCTGCACATATGACCCCATGATCATTTAAATACCAAATTAACCCAACTTAATTGATCACTTTAGTGGGTTATCCTGAAAGATAGCAATACACATTGTTTAATCATATGTGCCCACAAATAGATTTATTAGATTAAATCCAACAAGTTGTAGTAAACCTCCATCAATGTTTTCTTTATTAGA